AGCTAGCAATAAGAACATGGAGATATCATAAAGAAGCTATTTAATAACTTAATAATGTCAATAGTCATCCCATTAGCATACCCACCCTAGTAATTGCAGTCATCAACCTACCTAAATGACCTGGACAACCCAGCATTTAAAGCACTTCTGGCCACGCCCAGAAGATGAAACCCACATGCCAGGCACAACAGCTCCCTTGTCCAACCACACTTAGCCCTCAGAGCATAGACATGACTTTAAGCCAAGTGTCCAAACTCTTTATGTGGAGCAGGAGAATGGAAGTCTCAGCAAGAGGGAGCTGAACAGGTAGCATGCCAAGTGTGGCATTACCTAAACTCAATACAATCAGCATGGAGTTGTCATCATTCAGCCATTAGGAAAACCCAGTTGCTGGAAGGGATTCCTAAATTCTACCTCCAGAATGCCTAACCAGGAACACAGAAGGGCCTTTTGTCTCTGAAGATTGCCAACCTAGAATCCTTCACAGTGAGTGAGTCTGTACCACCTTTACTTAGCAGTGCTGCTACTTTTTGCTTGTTTGTTTGATAACACAGCTACTGAGAGTACCCTTTGTTGTAAGGCAGGATGGCAGTCCTGGAGGGAAAGCACCATGGCTTAAGTTCCTTCACTAATGTGGCAATCAGCATCCATATCTCCATATCCCAGGACAGCACACAAACTGCAAGTCACCAAGTGTTCTTCTCCAGGCAGCATCTGTTCACCTCTCCTATTATGGCTGGTTTTAAAAAGGCATTAGATTTAAAAACAAACAAGCAAATAAAAACATAATGAAGCATGGCTCTAAACATTAATCATCAAGCACACAGGCAGGAAATAACAGGCTTCGGACGCTTGCTGCAGGAACATCTAATGCAAACCAAGTAACAAGTTTTGAAACCGTGGACCAGAGCACACACAACTCCATTCTTGTAGGGCAGCATTTTCTTATATATCCTCTTTCTGGCTCAGTGAATCATGCTTTCTTTTTCTGGATAGCAGCACAGCTTCAACCAAGAGAACTGAGGATAACACTCAGCTTGACGACTGGGATATCTGCCTGGAAAGTGGAAGATGTAGGTTGATTGCTCCAGGCAAAAAAGGAAACTGAAGCAGGGTCTACCACATTCTGAACAAATGCTTTAACTAATAGTTTTTAAAAAGCATCAGCACCTCCTCTTGCAAATGCCTTCCAAAGCTGTCACTGTATTTTGTAGAAGAGCGACTGCAGCATATATTGGAGACGATCGGAGAATTCCCACCTGACAAAAATCCCCAGGAACTACAATTAAAGAACAACACCCAGAAAGCAGGCAGCGATGAAATAGGCTAATCATCCCTCATACAAGAGGGAAAAAAATCATCAATTTGATTTCCCAGAAATTCAAAGCTGTCAGCTATGCTGCCCACAGTGCCCAGGCACCCTCAGAGCTTGATGGTATGAGACTGTGGGTTTTCAGGGCCACAATTTTGACCACGAGCATCTCAAACAGGTTTACTCTCAGTGAATCTACTCAGTGATAAAAGTCGGAGGGGGGAAGATCAGAATCAGAGGTGTAACTTCAAGATAAAATCGCACCAATCGCTCGCAGGTCCTCCCAAACTCATCACTGAGACCAATAAATCACAGAACCTCTCTGGAGAGGAATGTTATATTGAAAACAGGAACATATGTTCATTGATTTCAATTTCAACTCCGTTTTCAGTTAGCTACCTACCCAGAGCTCATTCTTTTATGCAATACAAGTTTACACAATTCACACGGTTAAAAAGCTACTCACTATAATAAGCACACCTCTCCGTCTGCCATTCACTAACTGGCTACACTTTTCCCTTCCAACAAGCTGCTGTTCTGCCTTACGTGTTGGCGCTGCAACACCCACCACCAGGGCAAAATCCACAGACACAGAATCAAAGAATCACGGAATCATAGAAAGAACTGGGTTGAAAAGGTCAGAATCACAGGATGGCCAGGGTTGGAAGGGACCTCAAGCACCATGAATCTCCAACCCCCCTGCCACATGCAGGGCCACCAAACTCCCCATTTAATACTAGACTAGGCTGCTCAGGGCCCCATCCAATCTGGCCTTGAACACCTCCAGGGATGGCGCATCCACAATCTCTCTGGGCAACCTGTGCCAGCACCTCACCACACTCTCTGTAAGAGAAAAAGAATTTCTCCCTGACATCCAATCTAAATCTTCCCTCCCTCAACTTAAAACCATTTCCAGGACTACAAAGACCATCTAGTTTCAACTTCTGCTACGTGCAGGGTTGCCAACTACCAGACCAGGCTGCACAGAGCCACATCCAGCCTGGCCTTGAATGCCTCCAGGGATGGGGCATCCACAACCTCCTTGGGCAACCTGTTCCAGTGCGTCACCACCCTCTTGGGTTAAGAACTTCCTCCTAATATCCAACCTAAACCTCCCCTGTCTTAGTTTAAAACTATTCCCCCTTGTCCTACCACTATCCAGCCTCACAAACAGCTGTTAAACATCCATCCCTCCGGCACACTGCGCTGCCTAAACAAACCTGCTGAGAAACGCTTCCAGATATCAGACAATAGCAGGACTAGAAAGCCATCTCTGCTGATTACTTTAAACACAAGCGCGAGGCTTATCAGTTATCGACGCAGTATCAGCGCAGGAAATTCACGGCAACTTGAACGCTCGTTCACTAAGAGCTTTCAGCACTCTGTCAGCGCGGCGACGCTCCTCACAAAGTGCCGGCAGCCTCACGTGGACAACGTCGCTCAGTCAACGGAGCGTGCGAGACTCAGCGCTCCTCCAAAGCTCCGGACGCGGCTCAGGCAGCAGCAGCACGCGCGGGACGCGCCCCGACTTCCGCGCCCGGCACGCAGCGCCGTGGCTCGCGTTCCTATTGGAACAGACGCGAGGTCCGCCCGCACGGCCAACTCCAGGCGCGCGAGCACGCGAGGAAGGCGCCCCGAAGCCCCTCGTGCGGCGGCACCGGCGGGCTCCCCGCCCTCTCCGAGGGGCCCCGAGCTCCCGGCCTTTGTTGCTCGCCCCCTCCGCGCCCCGGGCCGCACGCGGAGCGCGGGGCGGGCGGCGAGGGGTTGCGAGGGGTCGCGAGGGGCTTCGAGGGCCGTTCCCCTCCCCGCGCCCTGCCGCCGGGCGGCGAGGCCTCTCCCGCAGCGCTCCGCTCTCCCGCCGGTCCCGCCGCCGGCACCGAGGGGAACAAAAGGGGCCGCCCCGGGCCCGCCCCCGCCCGGCGCCTCGCACGTGGGGACCGACCGAGAGAGGGGCGGCCCCGCTCCGCCGTCCCCCGCCGCGCCTCACCTGCCTGCTCCTGCCGTACGGAGGCTTCGCGGCGCCCAGGTGGTACCGCCGGGTCCGGATCTTGCCGCCGCCGCCGCCGCCGGCTCCTCCTCCCGCTCCTCCGCCGCCGCCCGAGGCCATGCTGGGACGCGGCCCCTCGGCCGCCCGCCGCTCCGCTCCTCTCCGCTCCGCGCTGTCACCGCCCGTCCCCCGCCCTCCACGCGCCGCGCGGCCTGGAAGGAGCGGGGGCCCCGCGCGGCCTGCCCCTCCCCTCCGCCCCGCTCGGCAAAGCTCCGCTCCGCCGGCCTTCCTCCGCGCGCGAGCGCGCAACCCTTCTCCTCAGCCGTGCGCGCGCCCCCCCTCGCCCCGCTGCCGCGCGCCCTTCGCCCGCTCCCGCCTCGCGCGCTCGGCGCCGGCCGGCCCCGTCCTGCCCGCCCGCCCGCTCGCGGCCGAGCCGCTGCGCCCCGCCCCCACCCCCCTCCGGGCTCCGGCTCCGGCTCCGACCAACCACACGGCGCCGTCTCGTCAACCGGCCGCGCCGCCGCGTCATCCGGCCGCGACGGACCGGCGTGCACCGCGCCGCGGGGTGGGCGGGGCTGCGCGGGAAACCCCGGCGCGAGCGCGGGGCGTGTGGGGCTGCTGGCGCGCGGAGCGGGAAGGGCCATTAACGCGGGCGGGGAGAAGGGCTGGGCCTGCAGCGCGGCGTGCGCTTCCTCGAAAGGAAAAACGCCTTTCCGTTGTGAATTGGAAAAACATAAAATAATTGTCCCTTTGTAGTGTGGCGCTGGAAGGGGATAGCTGTGGCTCTGCGGTACGTTTAGTGCGCTGGTTTGTGCGGGGGTGAGCAGAGCGGCGCAGCACCTTCATTGCACGGAATTCAGCACGAATGTGCACCTCCAGTACAGAATGTGCTAGAAATTGTGTAGGAGATGGCGATCATAGGATGTTCTCAGGTGGAGAGGACCCAGAAGGTGACCGAGGCCATCGCAGGTCGCAGTGCCCTTGGGATGCCCACATCCCTTTCATCTATGTCCACCTAAAGTCCTCACCTGAGGGAAATGCTGATCAGTGAGCAGCAAAGGAACTGCTGCAGGAGTCTCAGCCACAAGCTTGGCACTAAATCTCTGCTTCTTGTTTTAGCTTTGATTTTTTTCTAACTCTCCTCTGCTGTTTTCCCAGCTGTCTTCGAGGATTTGCTAGCTCTTTTCCTCAGTCCTGCCTCCACTGCCAAACAAATGACTTCTGAACCCCCCTCTCCCCCCCAGGAGCAGAATTACTTGCTAGGTAGTTCACATCACACACTGCACTTTCAGAGCTTTCTTCTCCCACCTGCTGACAGTACACCTTCAGTTGCAGCAGGATGGTTTGCATCAACACCTTCCTTCCAGAACATGGAAAGCCTCATCTTTAGCCTAGAACATTATCATGCTAAATTCTAACTTAACAGAGAGGTTACACAATGCATTTCCATTTTGGGAGGAGCAAGATTCACAAAGAGAGATAAACTGCCCTTTGATAACACACTGAGCAGAGAAAATGCTGACTTCTGGAATGGCATCTCCTTGGGGAACTGACTAAAATCACATCTGCGTTGGCTATCTAATAGCTAGGCAGAGGTAAAACACAAATCCCTTTTTCTCATGCACACTAACTACATTAAGGTAACCATATTATGGTAACATGATTTGATTTTCCAGCTCAGCATCAAAGGCAGCTACGCTGTTTTCTCCGTAAATTCAAATGCTGCTTTATTTATTTTGCTTCCAATTTTCTTATTTAGAACAATTTCTAAACAGTGACAGGCCTTTAATGACACTCATGACTCAGAAATATTTGCAAATGTAGTCAGTGTCCATTAACATGTGTCACTTAATTGTTGCTAAAGGTGAGCCAAAACAAAAAGGCAAATATATGCATCCAGCAGAATGATAATGATCATCACCATTTGATCAATCTTCCCTGTGAGTTTTATCTGCACGTTACTTTGAGGTAGCGCTAGAAAGAAGCAGTTGGTCCAGAGCATCCCTGCAAAAAGAAACATTCATGGCTTAAGTACCATTTACTCTTCATGCATCCTTTTAAGAACTCTTTAACCTTTCTTGACAGTTGCTTTTTCCTTGCTCACTGACTATGAGATTAGTAGTAACCCCTCAAACCTTCCTGATCACAGAAGAGATAGGAAACAAAACACTGCTGTTCTTGAACAATCTAGCAGGTTTTGTGTAAAGGTACCCTCTATTACAGCTGTATCCAATGAAAAGAGTTTATGAATCCATTACTGGGTATTCTTGTAGAAAACTTCCAAACAAAAATAGTTCACCCAGTTCAGCTGGGTGAAACAAAACAGAACTAGAAGCAAGCTATAGTGGGGTTGTAAAAGTATATATATTTTTAATAAGTCTGAAGCAAATCAAGCTCCCATTGCCATCACATCTTTGCAGATCTGATAAACTGACAGCAGACACCCACATGATGTGTTCAGCTAAAAAAGGCTGGCAGTTGTCAAACAGCTGTGAGTTTATTTAGTAAAAAGACTCAGCAAAGCACTCCAGCAGTTTTGGTGCAATTCCATCTTCCTGTACTTGCCATTCACTGGTAACAGCACAGGAAGAAACCTGCCATTCTCTATGCTCTTATGGTAAAGAATTGTACTGCACACACTATCCTAATCCCATGTACATACTCCTACCAGGAAAGGAGAATACACGAGGAAGTCTCAGGAGACAGAAAAAGAGGTCAGAAAACTGTTGTAGAACAGTTACACACCAGCTGCAACCAACATCTCTTCCTCACCTCATTTCTGTTTCTGTTGACTGCAAGAGAATATGCTCCCAACATTTTTCAGATCAGGAGAATTAATGGCCCAAACAACTCTCATTCACTGAACTACAAAAAATAGTACTTTCACAATGTAGGCACTTTATAGTCCAGAACAGAAGGAGCATGTATCTAAGAACAGTCATAGAGCATAAAGACTGTCTGCACAAGATGGGGTGGCCACAGACTTGTTTTTCTGAGTTTTACATACTTTGGTCATACACCATCACTGTATCAGACTAAGTGAAATCACACACCTATGTGGGCCCCTCATTACACAATTCACGTATTATAGACCAACTCTGCTAAAACAAACAAACAAAAAAAAATAGCACAGATACTTCACAGTATTTCTGTTAGGCCAACAGATATCCCTAATATCACATTTTTGGTGGATAACAACAAATATTTCCATAAAGTAATGAAGGTAACCTAAGCACAGGGTTCAGTGATGCTATGCAAACCTTGTCAAAGCAGTTGTTTTGGAGGCACAGACCTGAAAGCAATCTTGCTGCTCGTAAGGATGCTAGATATAAAATCCTTTGCTTAGCTGACCAATTTGTACTTTTTAAGTTCAAGCACCACAGCTATGTACAACTGAAGTGGCAAACCTTGTAAGCTTTTGAAGCTTTAGCACCACCATCCAAATTCAAGAAGCCTACACTTACTGTTCTTGAGTTTCTCACCTGCTCAGTCCCCTGAAACAACTCCATATATGCACACATGCAAGTTATTTCCCTCTAGATTCTCTCCACTTCATCTTTCACCTCTACCTAACATCATATTCTTGTTACTAAATCCCTTCAACCTAATGCTCCAAAGACTCACCTCACAAAGGGGAATGGTCCAACAATTTCTTTTACCTAGCTCCAGTGCTTCTCTGTTTTGGGGAGAGCTAGCTGCAGTTGCTGAAACTGATACCTTTACCCCTGCCTCCCTACACATATGCCTGCACTAAAAGCAGGAAGAACGCATTTCTAGTAGTCCAAAGGCCTCTTCTATTTCAGAACGTCCTTGCTTCATGGCAAGATTATGACAATATTACCAACACAAGTCAAACAGTGAAGAAAACACAGCGAATTTCTGGTCATCAGCTCATTCAGGAATAGCACATAGCTTATAATCACTACTTTCATTACCTGCATCAAGTCATAACCTACACCATGTCATAAAAAAAGGCCAAAGAACTTGATTATTGCCTGCCATCACAACAGTTAGATTTCCCCTACAATACACATAGTAGTATCAAACCACCTCACCTGGCTTTAGCAGCTTCCACAGCTATTGTTACAGCAATTTCTGCTCTTTTTTCCTAGAATATTCTACTGCCTCCAGCCTGACCTATTTATCATTACATACATTAAGTAATCCAATAGACAGAGGGTTAACTAAACCTGTCTGGAAAATAATTTACACCTTCCAAGATGAGAGTAGTTTAGAAGCACCACATTACTAGCTTCAAACTATTTTCCTCCCTTCCTTTCTTTGAATACATTCATCACTTCAAAGTTCTGTAACCTCATAACTATAAAAACCTTTAATCTTCAGGAATACCACAGAAATTGTCAACGATAGGGAGGAAATTAAAGAGTTCTTACTAGGATATTTGTGTTTTTGGTTGCTTTTTGTTGTTCCCAATGTGTTATTCCCTCCTTTAAGCCAGCAAGTTGTTATCTCCAATAATTTTCAGGTTGAAAAGTGTATTGTATACATGCGTATACAATATACATACTATAAATGTATGAAGTGTGAGCTGAGAAGTAAGCAAAAGCTGAATGCTGAGGCTGAAATTGACAGCAAGGATCATCCTTAGTCCATGGAACTTTTGCAGCCATGGCAGCTGAAGTTTGAACTTCTGTATGCTTAAATACCATATTTATAAACCAATTTTAACTGAAGTAGCAGATTAATAACAGTGTCAGATGCCTGCAGGAGGAAGGGAGCACAAGAAATTTCATAGCAAAACCTAGGAACATCTCCCACCCTATACTTTTAAACTAAACAAGTAGTCTACAAGTGAGTGCTGGATTTTGCTAGTGTCCTAACACCCATACAAAAATAAAGATGAATGAGATACCCTTACTACCCCCAATTAAATTCTGTAAGCCAGAAGAGAACATCCTACACATATGTATGAGTGAAGTCCCTTGCTGGCAGGTTTGCAGAAACAAAATTTTATTTACACAGGCAAGTCTATCTTTAGACCTCAATTAACTCTTTACATTTCTAGAATATTTACATGATTTCATGAAGCTCCAAGAATAGAGTGATGAACAAAAGAAAAAGATTACAGAAACTGTCAAAAGCATAGCAAAAGAAATCCAACCTATCGTTGTGCTTTAAAACTTATGATCTAGAGTAATGTAGAAGTGTAGTTTTAGCACCTTGGTCATAACGGCCATGCTATATAAGACACTTAAATAGCAGAGGGGATTTCAGAAGTGACCGTATCCAGAGGTTGCCAGTGACAATTCATAAGCGAATCATAGAGTTCTTCACTTGTCTCCATAAATTGTCTGTTCATTTCATCAACATCCAAGTACAACTGTGGATCTGAAAACAAAAGCCCAGTAAGTACAAGCATCAGCACTGAGGTATGCACACAAATCTCAAGAGAAATGCCTAGTAAAACATTTTTGCTGAACAAAATAGATTTAGTAATAATTTTTAATAAGACATTTATTCCCCTAAAACATTAAACAAACCTGTCAACTCCCATTTTCTTCTGGGGATTTGTGTATTAGAAGGCTAGGACTCTTATTTGTCATTCAAGGTAAGATCATGTTTACAAATAACCAACGACAAAACCTTCACAAAAATCATTTATTCATTTCTGCTATACTATGTATTCCGTGTAATAAAGCTTTGAACACTAGAACAAGATGCTTTCACACAAGGAACTGCCTGCAAGCTTCCCAAGACAAAGAATTCCATTTTGTACCAAATCCGTAAGCGCAAGCTGAAACCTCCCTTTAGAACTTGCAATGTAAAGCTTTTACCTCATGGTATAGAAAACAAAGCTCATGCTTATGAGTGAGTTTCTCATACAGAATTTGCTTAGTGGATCAATACAAGGAAAATAAATCCTATATTAGAACTTTTCAAAACAGACTGAAGGCATACTTATAGGAACGCTACTGCAGATGCCTCATTTCATTTCATATAGCATATGCCATATTAGCTTTAAAACCCCTAAGTGATCTCAGATGAACCACAGAGGGCTGACTCTTGTATCAGCTCAATTTCCAAGATGCTCTTCTGGTTCATCCAGCCTTGTATTGTTTAAGGCCACACAAGTATGGCTAAACACATAAGACACAATGACAGATCATCATTACCTTCAGTAAGTAGGTCATCACTGATTTCAGCCATAGCCGAAGATTCCTGCAAGACAGAATTTAATCAATTTTACAAAGCTTTCTAAATTCAAAATAACGTTGTTACCCTGAGACATTCTCTCTTTCCACAGACATACAAAATGCCATTTACCCTTGCAGTTACTTTTAAAAGCAAGCCATATTACAGTACAGGTTGGAAGGGACTTCTGCAAGTCATAACTGACAAAGTGACCAAGGTAAGATCATTTACAACAGATATCTGCTCTAAGCAAAGCATACTGGGGAAAAAAGAGGAACAGAAGCAGCATATACAGTTGTGTTGTCAAAACAATCAAAAAAATTTGATATACACAAATAATGTATACTACAAATAATGTAAACTACTAGTTCTATGCATAAACTATAAGCACAGATACCTCTGAACGTAGTCCGCTATTCTAATCTCCATGCTAAGCAGAAAGCATAGTTTCAGTTTTAGAACATATTTGCTCCAATTCACACAATTTGTACAGCTATCCACAAAGTTTCTTTATTTAAGGCAAGTGTGTAGTATGTTTTACCTCAAAAACAGCTGGAGCCATAACAGCATCTCCTAAAGAGCAGTCTCCGATAGCTTGCATGCTATCATAGGCAGCATAGGAGTTGTAGTTATACTCAGCATATGCATCATAATTCCACTGTGAGTAGTAGTTCTGATAATCCTGGTAATAATCATTATAGTTGTATGACTGGTACCGCTGGAATTCTGCTTTCAGTCTGAAACATGAGAAGAGTTTGAGAACCACAAACTGTAAATCCAGTTTTCCAGTTAAACAACATGCCAGCTTACACATTTCAAAGCTTAATGCAACTGTTTAGGAAAGCTTCCATTTAAGTGACAGCTTAAGGCACAGCACAGGATCTTGTATTTAAACAGAAGCAGATGTCCTCACCTTTGCCAATATCAAAAGTTATTGTTTTTCATTAAATCCAGAGCTTTGACACTGTTATCATACAGAGTATTCTTAGTGATGGCATAAGCAAGCTGCTCGTAAGCCTTTGTGCTCTGCAAAGATTAATTTAAGACCAGAGACATTTATCAAACACAGCTGCTTTAAAGATGCAGTCTTAACCCTTTCATATTTTGTTTGGTTAATTACTAGATATTTCTTCCAGAAATATGTGAATGAACTCAGATTATCCATTTCAGAGAAGCATCTTACACTGCCTGCTAGTTTGCCACATCTGCCTCTACCTGCACAGTTTAGTCCATCAAGCTTTCAATAGTTGCCAAGAATAGCAGTCAGGTGAAGCCAGTCTTGCTTAACACCATACTTCTAATTGTCCATTAAGATGATCAAATCTGTGGAAAACTATGAAATACACTTTATTTTTTTTTTTTATGAAAAAGGGGCCACATGATTAATTTTCAGTACTCCCCCCTGCCTGAGATTCTCTGGGGCAGCCTCAGACAAGTGGCAAGAATCAAGACAAGAGTTATCTTAACTAAAACTAATGCACACTACATAAAGTACATTCAGATAACCATGCTGCGTATTCCAGAAAATCCTTTTTAGACATGTTTTTACTAGTTGTATACGGGCAGACCTCCTCTTATAGTGGGGAAGCAGAGAAATCAGTTGCATACATTTTTGTGTGTGCTGAATACAAACTGAAGGAGTTCAGTAACAGTCACCAAAATGAGTAAACTTTCAAACTGTTTAATTTCATGACTGGATATTTTGATGCTAAGACAGGTACTCAGCCCTCCAGAAACATACTAATGATGTTTATTTTAATACCTAGATTGTATTTGTTTAACTATTGTAAAGTGCCTAAGTCCTAACATAGATATTCTATTGTCCCATAGTGAACAAACAATCTTGAGCCTTCTGCTTCCAACTGCATTCCTCCTTAAAAGTACTGTTGACGTCCTTCTGGATAACAGAAGCAAGGAAACATGTTTGTGTGACCTATTCTTGTTTCTAAAATAATTATGGTCAGAGCAATTTAGGATAGTGCTCTCTCAGGCAACAGCATTTCCATTCTAAAGCAAAAAGAGGCAACATTTGCAGAATTATGCCAGGTAAACAGAAACAAAAGTATCATTTTTTTTACTGTTAAACATAATATACAAGCTAACCTCGCATACATACTGAAATTGTTCATATGGAAGGTTTTTTTCCCAGCATCCTGGATCAAAATTTGATTAAATTTAGTATCAATTCTTTTAAATGTTCAGAGTTGAATTGCCTTAACTAACTGACAGACCTGAGATGAAAAGAGTAAAATCCCTCTCAGAAAGTGCTACACTCCCCACTGCCCTAAGCTATTGGAAAGCAAAGAGCAGTACTTTGAAAACTGTTCTAGTAAGATTTCCCTTGGCTTTCTCCTATATTCCTGTGTCTTTTCCCCACTTAAGAATTCCTTTCCCTGCCAGCCTACTGTAAAACTAGTGATGTGCTTCTTTCCTCAAACTAGAGGGAAAGGTCTAAGAACAAAAACTCCCTAACATATGAAAACCACCTGTCCCTTCTACTTTATTCAGGCCCAAACCTGGAAAATATTTACAAATGCATTCAGCTTTGCTACTTGAGAAATAAAGCTGGCTGCAAAAGCAGCTAAGCCCAAGCTACACTGTGTGGTTAGACTTGAGTTGGATTCCCCCAGCAATCCTGAAACAGGCTGATAAATCCAGGGAGTCAAAACAATCTCTCTGCATTTTTGATTTTGTAGACTGCATCTTACAGCCAGTGTTACAGCCATTACAGCAAGGGCCACAGACTTTACAAAGGCAGAGCTACAAGAATCTGATTATTTAGAATAACTGTATCAATGCACAACTCATTGGTTACCTTTTAGAAATTCCTATGCTCAGCCGGATTCGTTTTCCCCCCAGACCTGGTGCATTCTGGCAGTCTTGCAGTGCCCTCATCTGATCACCTTGCTCACCAAATCTGACATAGGCATACCCTCTACAATTTTCAAAAGGGAGAAAACAAATTCTAGTATGCATAACAGTTACAAAACTAATGAATTCAATCTGTCTTCTACAAAAACAGAAGGTAGCAGCTACTATAGCTTCTATTACTTAAGCAACCTCTCTGGCATATGCACATGCACGGAAGAGGCTTTCACCAAATTAAAAACTTGGGCCAGAAGCAAAAAGCCTGTTCTTTGGTAGCAATAAGATGCAACTTGCTGAGAGCCAGCAAAACAATACATTTTAATTGCTATCTGCATAAGTAATCAGATTCTATATTTCTGCATATACAGAGTTCATTTATCAGTTATTAATGCACTCCTACTACTGTAGAACACTAGGATTCTTTTTATCTGCCCTAAGATTCTTGAATTAATCTGTTACAGGCAGCACTGTCTGAACAGTAAACTCCCTCATTCCTGCTTGACTCACTGCATGGCCAACAGTTTCAGCTAGGCTTTATTTACTATCAATAAAATTGCATTCAATCTCCCAATGCCCTCAGATTTGCCAGACCTCATGCTTTTCCCCCCCACACACAAAAAATTGGAACTTTAACCTCAGTATTGCAGATGACAGATACAAAGCTGCACCAATTTCAGTGCACAGTTCTCCCTTCTCCCAGCATGTTTTTTTTTTTTTTTAAATGTAAATATACATGACTACATCAAAGCTTTTCAAAGTTAACTAACTGCTTAAACCAGCGTTTTAGAAACTCAAGGACCTGTGCTTAAGACTAATCTCATTTCTCTTGCCTCAGAAAAAAAAAGCAGGGAAGTTCTGACACGAGTTTTTATATATCACTACAGAAGCAAACACAACCAATTGCATTACAAATTCACACTGAATTACCTGGAATATCCCAGCAGGTCTGTTGCTATTTTGCAGTCAAGACATGAGGGGTACCTCTTTAGGAAATAGTCATAGAGCTGGAAATCATCCACTTCTGGAGTAAGCTCCCCAACAAATATTGAATAATCCGGTCTTTAAGATGATAAAGAAAACAGTTTTAAAACTTTGAGATCAAAATATTGATTCCAGTATTAAAGCAATTATTATATTACAGCTTGTTAAAACCAGACAAATTAGTATAGAGTACTTCAGAGCAAAAACACACTGAAATGTACAGAACTGCAATGCCACCACACCAGCATATATTTCTCTGGTATTGTTGGTCTAATTCTACTGCTTTAGCAACAAGGATCCATTTTCTGAAAACCTTCAGAAATTTGTTTCAAAGATAAACATATTTATTTAGAGATACACATATCTCTATACACACACACACACACACACAGTAGGGGGTTGGAACCAGATGACCTTAAAGGCCCCTTCCAACCCAAGCCATTCTGTGATTGCCCAAACAAGAGGCACAGAAATACCATGAAAAATTAACTCATACTACAGCCATGGCTATGACTATTTTGCCACCACTTGCCAGTGATCACAGAATTTTTCAAGTGAGTGATGACATTCAGTGGTTGCCATCAACCTCAGCAGATAAAGAGAGCCAGAGCTTTTCACATTAAAAGGACTTTACCTGACTGTACTACTGGTAGTAGTAGTAGCACTAACAAACTCTATCCTTCCTGGTTTTATTTTGTTCTTTTTCTTCCGTTTCTTCTGTGGTGTTCTCCACCAGCTGTAGGCCTGGAGACATTCTCGCTTTTTCCCAAGTAAATCCTGTTGGGATAAAAAAAACCTCTATAGTATTTAGCCTCATTTACATTCCTCCCTCCCACTCCCCATCACCACAGGTGATTTCCCCATATTCACCTTGCCCTTGAAAGAAGCCTGGGGTCCCATTTCTCCCTCCGCCTCCCATGAGGGAAAGCAGCCTCTGGGGAAAATGCCTGGCAAAAATAACAGAGCCAAAGGATTGTATGAACAGCCACATTCCCCTGACTTGTCAAGCTGGCTAATGGATTGACAGCTTCCTCTTGGAATTCGGAAGAAAGCAGTTAGTCCTTCGATGCTGGTCAATCCTAAATGTTAAGTAGCTCCAGGACTGGACTGTGCTCCACCTGAGCTCTAAGACTCTCTCTCAAAAAAAAAAAAAAGCCTTCAGTGGCACAGCCAAAAAATATATATAAAAATATCACTCTTGCTCAGAAAGGGATCTCAGCTTTCCCTCTCTCCCCTCTCCTAGGAATTCTTCTTTGCTTGTATGAGGTATCACTTCTCACTACCTATAGTAGACCACTCTCCCAGGCCAGGAACAACAGGAGGCCCATTAATGGAATGTAAGAAGAAAGAAGACCACGAACAGGCACCAACTTGGCTGAGGGAAAACACTAAACCCAGATGCAAGGCCAGGAAGAAAGAGGCATAAAAAGCACCTCAAAAAAAAAAAAAAAAACTGTAAACCCCAAAAGCCACAGTTTAAAAAATGTGGGGTAACTAAACAAAAAAAGGAAACAGCCATATTAACAGGTTGCCTCCCTCATTTAATATTCTGAAGAACAATTTCCAAAAATAAGAATGGTATTTTTCAGTAACTTTACTTACGCAGTGTTTAATGTTCTTCCTCTAGAACACCTCTACATAACTTACATAGAGAGTGTTATTTGCAAGATCCTTCAGAAGAACTCATGCTCAAATAATCCAAACTGCAAAGTTTAATGCCATGCTCCCAACCTGTTTCGGTTGTTATGATTAAGTATACAGAGGACAACCACCAATTACCAAATTACCAGAGGAAATCATGGGACTAGAAGAAAACCCCACTCAGAGTGAGCTAGCTATTTCAGCTTTACATTCACCGGGGATTTTGAATGTTCTGGAACCCATTTAGACACTACAAACCTGAGTTTCTCACCAAATGATCTTACCTGGCTCGCCATGGTTGGAAAAAAAATAAATCTGTCTTCTGCCTTCCTCAAGGGACACAGATGCAACAGTTCAGTTTATTGCAATCCTTCAGCTGAAAAAAAGTGTGAGGGAGGACCAAGAATCTTAATTCTGAAATCAATTAATTCCAAAGATGTTCACTCTGTCTAACAGTTTTAACATTATTAATTCACAGCTAGGGAATGCAAGTTCTGACTTATCATTGCTAAAGCAGTGGAGATAAAAATGATATATGACTAAGGGCATTACAATTAGAAGTTGTAGCAGTTCAGATTTTTCCTGTTGTCCAAAGCACTATAAAATTTTATAAACAGCTTTATAGTTACCTACAGTTTACTCACTGTCTGGAAAACATACCAAGTCATAATTTACAAGTTCTAAAACAATTAAAAACAAGGCAACAAAATACAAGCTGTTTTCTACAATATCTCAAGATCTGCTTCACCCCACCCCGCCCCTTTCGAACCAAATTAGCATTTGTATCTTCCTATGGCACAAAATTATACAGCTGAAAAGGAGCAGTGATACTTCCTAAGTTTTGGTGAATAAAACAGTAAATATAGAAAAAATAGTTAAGGTAAAATTGATCCAATTGATCCTTCTCTGAACCTTTTCTTAGTTATATCTTGTCTTTTGTCTCAGACACACTTCCCTAAGAATGAATTAGCAACAAAGAGGGCCCTTTTCCTACTACTAAAATCCTGGACACCCTTCACTTAAAAGGCATATACCTATTCCCAATTGATAACCTTTCCTGACCCCCACCCAAGTCACCCCAGAAAACATTTCATTTACAGAACACAAGGGCTTCTCTAAAAGTAATGCCCCCTATGTTATTATGTCAACCCACAACGTCAGAGGTGGATGTTGTTAGTATGGCAGTAAAGGCTGAACCTTCCTACCAAAGCCCATTACATATTGTTGCCATGGGACAGAAAGCAGCAGAGGGACAGTCGACAAACTGGCATCTGACATAGAAATGTGGATGAAGCAAAGGGGTGGAATTTAATCCCACCATGCAGAAAAAACAGCACCCACTGACATTATCAACATTTGCTGAATGTTTAAGGAGACCAAAAGGTAGATTTGAGCACAGTAAATGATATATTTCAACAGCAGCAACAGTGGGTCACCTCTGCTGGTATGGATTTGCAGGCTCTTGTTCATGGCTGCCAAAAACACACAGCTAATGTTGGTGACTATGTTGAAAAACAGTGCTATTATGCTTTTTATATCTGCTGTAACTTTTGTGGAAATAAACAGGAGGCATCACTATCAAAGCAACTTCTGTATTATCCCCTTGCACACAATCGTTCATTCACCACTACTTTTTGTTTTTATATCCAAGGTAACTCTTCGAAGAAGACACTTGATTGCTGGAATTTAACTCCCATTTTCACATAACAAGTTATGTAACACTCCAAACTGATTGGTTGGAGTCATATGCACTTAATTAGAGTACTTGTAATGCCTCACAGGCGTGACCATGCAGGTGAACAGTTCAGCACGGTGCTTCTGAAAATGGGTTATGCTATCCTGGCACGGGATAGCCATGGTGTTACACAAGATAGCTACACACTTCATCTCCATACCCATTTCACACCCAATGAAGTTGTGAAGTACAAACAAGGCCTTAAATACAGGTACATACCAGTAAGGTCAGTGTATAACCTCTTAATAAACATAACTGTGCTTATTATGAGGGATGATCATCAGCATATTTTTTCCAATTAAGGAGGTCATATTAATAAGAATAGCCTTAAGTTTCTTAACTTTAGTTCCTTAACTTAAACCTTACTTTTATTAAAAAGAAGCCAAACTCTCAATGCCTTCAATATTGGCATACTAATCCTTGTATTCCCCAGTGCATGATGCTTTATTTTATTTATTTACAGAAAACTTACCACTCTTCACTCGTGCAGATTTACCAGGAGATGCCAAACACTACAACACAACTTCACACCAAAAAAAAAAAAGTACGAGAGGGCAAATGATGCAATAGCTCTGCGACCACAGTTACTGCAGACTCATGCAAAACTGCTCTCGTACTCTTCTCCCATCCGCTCTTCACTGGTGCTTCTTTTCACTGCAAGTCAAAAACACATTTAAAAAGCAGTTGAGAGAGCATGCATGTGACACGATGAGTATACCTTCAAGCCCAGCTATGCTCACAGCACGTTTATCCCTTAGGTGGGGCAGGTTTAACCTCCAAAACTCAAGCAGTTCCTTCTCTGGCTTACATAGGCTCCCCACCGGGCTCCTCACCCCACGGCTTGGCTGCGCGTTAGCTGTAAATACGCCCGCCCCGCCGTCTCAGTAGCGCCGGGCCGGGCCGCCCCTCCCAGCCTACCATAGAGAGGTGACGGGGGGGGGGTTGTTTGCCACCGTGCCGCTCCGCGCGGCGACAACAGCGCCCCGCCCGGCCAAAGTCCCCCGCCGCAGCAGCCTGGCGCCGGGGCCGCGCTGCCCGTTTCCTGCTGCGCCCGCGGCAATAAAAAGCGCCAGAAAATAGAAACGTCGCGACAAAGCGCGCCGGGCGCGGGGGGCAGCGCGGGTACGGCGGAGCCGCTCGGTTCCCCCCGCCGCCGCGGGGTGACGCGGCCTAACGGCCGCGGCCTCCACGCCCCGCGGGCCCCGTCGGGGCGGCCCCGACGCGCCGGGCCGCGGGAAGCGCCGTTTCTCCTTCCCCGGCGTCGCTCGACCGTTCGCCTCCCGCCCCCCGAGCTCGGCCCTCCCGCCCCGGGCCCGCACTAACGCCTCTCGCCGTCCGCGCCGCCATCGGGAGCCGCGCTCCCCGCGCTTCCGCCCCGCGAGGACCCCTGTGCCGGGCTGCCTCGCGAGGACCCCTCAGCCGGGCTGCCCCGCGGCGCGCCTGACTCCGCGGCGCCGCGCCTTCCCCCGCCGCCCCTCAGAGCGCCGCCGCCCACCGGCAGGCACCGCCGAGGACGGGCCGAGAGCCAGCGACGGGGCGCAGAGGGGCGACCGAGCCGATGGAGCTGGTGGCCGGCTGCTACGAGCAGGTCCTCTTCGGCTTCGCCGCGCGGCCCGGACAGGTAACGCGGCGCGAGGAAGGCAGGCAGGCAGGCAGGCGCGCGGAGGCCCAGCGGCCGCCACCTACCTGAGGCACCCCGCTGCTCGTCGCCGCCGCTCTCGCTCGGGCCGTGGCCGCGGGGCCGCCTCGGGGTGGGCTTTTAAAGCTCGGCGGGGCGGGGCGGCCGCCCGCAGGCACAGGCTCGGCCCACGGCCCGTGGGAGCGGCGGGTCCTTCGCGGCTCGTTGCTCTGCTGCCTTCCTGCCGGCCTCGGCGCACCGGCAGCCGCCACGTGGTTCCCGAGGGCCGGCGGGAGGCGGGAGGGTGTCAGCGGGGGAGAACGGGGAGTCGGCCTGCCGGGTCCTCCGCTTGTAGCTGCGTGCGGGTTGTGTGCGCGCACAGCCGCGTCTGCGAGCGGGGCTGATTGTAACGGGTGGGCTGGGCGCTGAGATCGCCCTGCCTGGTCTTGTAACGGCGCGTTAACTCAACGCTGTGCCGTCATCCTTGTAGCTAAGTGTGATTTCTTTGCGTTTTACACGTCGGCTGCTTCAGATTTTGTGAACTCTTACCCTGGTCGCTTCTTGGCTGATGAAGCCGCGAGGTTCCTTCTCTTCAGAAAGACCCCTTCGTTTTGTGTTTCCTTCACAGCCCTGGACGGTTACCCCCGATTTTACCCACCATGCCCACACCGCTTCCCTGTCGGCGGTAGCAGTGAACAACAAATACGTGGTCACGGGGAGCAGGGATGAGTCGATCCAGATCTATGACATGAGGAAGAAGGTGGAGCACGGGGCGCTGTTGCAGCACAATGGTAAGGGAGCTTTGCGATAAGCATCAGGGATAGAAACTCAGAACTGAACGTCTGTTCGTTACCAGAAGAAGAGAATTCAGATTGTTCTGCTTTTCGGTAGTCTTCAGTAGCAGTGATATTTCAGCCACCATGGTCTGATGATACAGACAAGGCAAGCTTTTGAGTGTGAAAATCCAAAAATTGTTTTGGGCGTCGGACCACAAATACATCTGCTGCTTCCAATTGTTTTTAGTTTTACCCATTTCAGAATTTATGGCCCAGAAATTACTTAAGAATGATTTTTATTCTACCAGCACAGTTTCTCCAGACCATGCCTGCTCCAGACAGCCATCTTTCCCAGTGTCCTTGTTCCATCAACCACCCAAAAGAGATGGTTTGTGTGTAAGGACAGGCTGCTGCTGCCAGAAGGGTTACCTTGTACCTTAAAATCATAGAATCACAAGGTTGGAAAGGACCTACAAGTTCATCTAGTCCAACCAACCTCCCATTACCACTGCTACCACAAGCACTAAACCATATCTCGTAGCTCCTCATCCATATTCCTCTTGAACACTGCCAGGGACGGCGACTCCACCACCTCCCTGGGCAGCCATTCCAATGCCTGTCCACTCTCTGAGAGAAAAAGTTTTTCCTCATGTCTAACCTAAACCTCCTCTGGTACAACTTGTGGCCATTTCCTTGGGACCTGTTTGTTGCCTGGGAGAAGAGGCCAAACCCCTCCTCATCACATCATCACATCTTCCTCATCACCTTGCCTGATTTGTGTACTTCCTAGATTACAGTTGTCAAAAAGACAGTTGATATTAGTCCATAGCTCAGGTCACCTGGGGCTCAGTCCCAGTTGTCCTTTTTCTCCTGATAGTCTAGAAGTATAATGGAGCTAAATTCACCACGGTACCTGCATTCAACTTCTGTACAGTAAACAGGGTGCTTCTGTTACAGTTGAACTTGGCTGGCAGCTCAGCACCACACAGCCATTTGCTCACCATCCCCACCACTGGGATGGAGGAGAGAATCAGGGGAAAAAAGAACTCAAAAACTATTTGCTAAGACAGAGAAAAAGAAAATAGTGATGATGTTTATACAGAACAAGTTATGCACAATGCAATTGCTCACCACTAATTCCCAGCCAGTCCCTGAGCAGCAGCTGCACCCCCCAGCCAATTTCCCCCAGTTTTATAGTTTGTTCACATGATGCCATATGGTATGGGATATCCCTTTGGCCAGTTTAGGTCAGCTGTCCTGGTTCTGTCCACTCCTAGTTCCTTGTTCCCCCCACAGCCCATCACTTGCAGGGCAGTATGAGAAGCTGACAAACTGACATGTCCTTGTCTCTGTGCAACACTGCTCAGCAACAACTGAAATGTCTGTGTTATCAGCGTTGCTTTTCTCCTTGAGCCAGAACGCAGCATATCAGGCACTATAAAGAAAGTGAACTCTGTCCCACCTGAAACAGTGGTAAATTCAGCTGTGTGCCAAGAGCAGGGCTTTGATGTAAGAACACTGCATATCAGTGGTAGAACCTCTGTGTCACCTGCACCATGCTGGACAAGTACTGCTATGTCAGAGAACAGATCAGACACTTCAGACATGTAGGACTGTAGAGGAACTAAGAGAGCACGTCAACAAATGTAACAGGAATGTTTGTAGCTAGTTTGAATGTTAGAAGCACATCTGTTAGTTAATACGTTCCCTCTGTTAGTTAATACGTGTGGTAACTGTTCAGTATGTACAAGATTGTTGATAGCTCTGGATTGAATTTCTAGGCACAATAACTTGTCTGGAGTTCTATGGTACTGCACATCTGCTGAGTGGGGCTGAAGATGGACTAATTTGTATATGGAACACAAAGAGATGGGAATGCCTGAAATCCATTAAGGCACATAAGTGAGTTTCTTAAATCTGCATATTCAGATGAGTTTTCATAATTATTTTCTTTGTAAATAATATATGTGGCTAACACTTTGTTTTGTTTTTATCAGAGGGCACGTGACATCTCTTTCAATTCATCCATCCGGGAAATTAGCTTTGTCAGTAGGAACAGATAAAACATTAAGGTGAGTCCAAACTAATAAAGAAGGGCTCAGAATCATAGTTCAGAATCATATTCTGCTATAAGCAACAGTTCCTTGTTGTGACTAGACTGTGTGAGACTGATGAAACATACCTTCACGTGAAATCATTTGTTTGTCTTTTTAAGTTCTAGGTACAAGCAATATCATAAAGTCTTCTTAAAACAGTTTTTTCTATTTTTAGCTTCATCCCTGGAGGCATTCAAGGCCAGGCTGGATGTGGCTCTGGGCAGCCTGGTCTGATGGTTGGCGACCCTGCACATAGCAGGGGGGTTGGAACTGGATGATCGTTGTGGTCCTTTTCAACCCAGGCCATTCTGTGATTCTATGATCCTTCTTGCTGAATTCTGACTCTTTTTAGTCACTTGTAGATGTATGAATGCATTTGCATTCTGGAATAAAAATTAACTACTGAAAGCCATCAAATTTTATTCAGTGTTAGAAAAGTAAATTTACACTTGGAGTGTATATGAGTTGCCATATAGATATATACAAGTATTTTAAGCTTGCTGTATTATCAAGACAAATTGGTATTTGGCTTCCTTTTGTGCTCTGCATTGCAAACTGATTTATAAAATAAATATCACAAATTCAGCCTTACAGTGTACAAGCAATATATTTAGTCATGAATTTCTCCTGCATTAAGGAAAGCACTGAAAGATAGAGATGCTTAAAAGCTTCCTTCAGATGCGCCATGTCAGCTGATAGGATTTCAGTTTCACTGTGCTGTTTAACTAAAATGCACGTTATCTGTTGCTGTCTTTCAGAACTTGGAATCTTGTAGAAGGACGATCAGCCTTTATCAAAAACCTGAAGCAAAGTGAGTTTATCAGTCCAAATCCATTAATAAGTGAATTTGATAGTTGGGTTTTCTTTGTTTTTGGTTGTGTTTTTTTTTTAGAAAGAAAGGTAGACTGTGTTAATCAACAAGTCAGTTAATTGTGAGCTATTTTCACATTGTATTTTACACACGCTGGAAAGTACGTGTCCTTGAATAGTAGTCATTTACCAAAAGGAAAACATAGTGATAGTAAAAATCCTTTTTTCCCCCCTTGAAGTTTGATATCAGAACATTAAATAAATATGTTTTTTTTTCCCTTCCTTTATGCACTTCTGTTAATCAGAAATGAACATTTAAGAGCACACATTTACTTGATTTTTTTCTTCTGAATTTTTCTCTGCTTCACCTAGAACATAGTGTGTAGCCACTAGAAGGATGTTTACTTTTAGTGTATCACGTGTTATAGAATACAAAAACCTGTGTATAAGGATGTTCCTCTGCCTTCAGATGCCCACATAATTAAATGGTCCCCTGATGGAGAGAAATATGTGACTGTGATAACAAATAAAGTGGATATCTACAAACTCGATACAGCTTCAATCACTGGCACTATCACAATAGAGAAAAGAATTTCTTCCATTAGATTTATTACAGTAAGTACAAGAGAAAAGCTGAGAAGCTAACTTCTTTGAAACGTATGAATTTAATCATACTTGCATTTCTTTTTTTTCCCATTCCAAGGATTCTGTCCTTGCCATAGCTGGAGATGATGAAATTATAAGGTTCTACAGCTGCGACTCTCAAAAATGTCTGTGTGAATTTAAAGCTCATGAAAACAGGTATTTTATATTTGTGTACTATTTAAATATATATGGCAGTGCTGAGTACTCAGTATACAAAGTTCAGTGACTTGCAGTGTTCACACATTTTACTACTGTTCTTGTATTCGTATAGAAAGGAAATTTACCTAATGTGCTGAATTCCAAGTTTGGAACAGACTTGTTTGCTTTAGGCATAAGCAGAAGTACTGTGCTATCCTTGCATGCTACAAAAATAGCTGGGTTTAGAATTAGGAATATTACAGTTCTAACCTTAACAATTTAAGTACTGTGTAAAACATTCAGGTCTACAGTATAAGATCAGTATAGATCATATCTAAATATATGTCTTAAATATAAGACCTACATGTACTGGTATGACTCTGCATTAATACTTTTTTTTTTTTTTTCACAAAGAAGATCTTCCTCTCTTTTCCCTCCTCAAAGCTTTGTTGTGTCTGAACTGATATGTCTCTACAACTTATAGTACAAAAACCTTCATTGGGTTCTGTAGTGCTTCTCAGCCAATGAGATGAAAATTGCTCAGCGGGGTTTCCACTGCAAAACTGGATTATACTGGACAGGCACATTTGAAATAAGACATCTTGTGATGTCTGACTCTCATAGTTGGGTCAGTCCTCGTAACAGTTGCACCCTTGGCAGCTGTGAATTATCCAGCAGGTTGGTGGGGAAC